TTATTGATTTATTGATTTTTAAATAATTTGCGGACATTAAATCGTCGGACACTTATATCACTATTTTGTACAGTAAATTTAAAAGTGGAAAAAATGAAAATTAGATATGTGGTAATCGATTTTTCATACCCCGTGAAAATTCCGGTTTCCAGCTGTCGGTCGGTCTGAAAAAACGCGGCTTGAAATTTGTAGGACAACAATATTTTTTGACTGAATTAATTATTTACTATTAATTTTACTAAAAATTACCTATGTGGTAATTGATTTTCAATACCCTGTTATTTTGGCATGTTTCGACCGGTAGACACGTCAATGTCGGAAGAATTTCTGTCGGACAAATTTAAATCGGCATTTGCGACAAAATTTCCAGTTACTTAAGCTAAAAATAAAAGATGTGGTCTTGAGTATTCAAGACCCCGGGAAATTGCCATGTTTTTGGACTTTTCCGAGTGGAAAAGAAGAAAAGAAAGAAAGAAAGTAGAAAGAAAAAGAAGAAAAGTCGCAGAGGAAAAATGTGGTAGACGCGTCAAAACGAAGCTCCTCAGGAGTTATAAAGTATGTGGTACCTAATCAACTTTCCAGGGGGGGCCTGTACTATTAATATTGCACCTGGATTCCTTACGGCCAATTTATCAAATTAATTTGAATTATTATTTAAGTAAATCTAGTTTGGGGTTGCCAAATAATAATTGTTTGGCTGTTGCTAATTGTAACAGATTTAGTTAAATCAATAAACGACTTATTTTTTTTAATTATTACTTTAATTATATACGTTAACTTTTTAGTTTGACGAGTTTTTGTTTCATTGTTAAAGGCATCAAAAATTTGACGCAAGTTCTGGCAGTGTTAAATCTCGAGACTGGTTGTATACATATTTTATTGGATATTATAACGATTTGCGCTGTTTATGTAATTCATTTAATCGTAATCGCATTATAAAAGAATATGATATTGCGTTCGTTATCGAAATCAAATATCCCTACAGTTGACAAATCCGCTAAATCTCAGAATTAATGTTTCCGGCATGCCGACAAAACAAATCGAAAAAAAAACTGAATACAGATTGTTTACCTTTAATTAATGCTGTCGCTCGGAGTCCTTAATAAGTAGGGTGTATTTAATTGTAAACATAGCATTTACTAGATAGATTGGCGTTGACGCAACATCCAAACAAATAAAACATCATTTAGCGTCTAAGTTTTTTTTAACATATCCACGTTTTTTTTATAATTTTGTTATTTTTGTATCTAGAACGCAAAAGTACCATTTCGCGTTCGAGATGCAAACAATATTCGAAAACTGCAATAAAATAAGGCAATAGGCATGATGACAGTAACTAAGAATCACTAAAATTATGTATTTATCTAATGAAATGAAAAAAACGAATTTATTTTTATATTATGAGGGAGATTGATGAAATTTTGATAAAATAAAACTACAAAATACAGCAAACCGCCATGATAGGTTGAACAACAATCAGAGCGAATTACGTCACATCTATGTAAATGCCATTTTGTGTCATTTGTACTTCGACAATATCCGCAGTATTTATCTTCGTTTAAATATTTTGTGTTTCCCAACTGTCAGTTGCTTAGTTTTGTGTTACCAAAACCATAACCAGGAAACGTTAGGTACTTGAAAAGTTTCTAAACGAAGGAAAGAAAATAATAGCTCGACAGCTGCGAGTTAATAAAATATCAAAAAGACTATGTTTGTGATGAAAAGTTTATCCATGCATAAATTGGTGCTGACATACAAAGAACAGTCCTGCGACACATTTAAAAAAAAACTCGTATCGACTGATGAAGATGACATGAAACATGAACAACCTTTTATTTTCTACAGAAATAAGATATTTTTTGGAAATAGTAAATACTTCCGAACATCATAGAACAATTTTTCAAAATCTGTCACCATGCCTATTGTTATACAATTTAATTTATATTTGGAATCGTTTGAACCGTGTTTGAATCAAGACGGTTTAGACGCGGTGACTATCATAACGACAGCAACCTAACAAGCAATAAAAATTAGTTGTTTGAAAAAGTAGTGTCATAATTATACATCATAATTCTTATCATAATACAATTCATATTCTAAAAGTGTTTAATTCAAAATGAGCTCGGAAAGTAAAGACGAGCATTTACCAGGGGAAGTATTGGAAGCTGCATAAAGTGCTGTTTCACAATTAATCCCCAAAAAATCATCGAGACTGAAAAGATTTCCTACAACGAATTCAAAGAGTGGTGTTGTTGGAAGAAAATTCAAAAAGTGTCCGAAGCGGTAATACTGGCATATTTCGAACACAAAATTAATAAATTTAAACCTTCGACGTTGTGGGCAGTATTTTCCATGTTTAAGAAGTATACTGAATACCAAAAAAATATTTGAAAAGCAAATCAGTTTGATACCGTCCGAAAAAGTCCAGAGTTTTAACGAAAGAGGAAATTGAGAAATTTTTACAAGAAGCACCTGAATTACCACATCTACTAAGATTTCTGCTAGAAAAGGCAATTTAAATTAATATAAATCGATCCATTTAACAAATTTTGGACAACTTTTCAGGTCATTTTAATAATTGGTATTTGTGGAGCTTTGAAAAGAGATGAGCTACTAGAGATAACGATCGATAATATAGAAGACAAAGATTTAATTATTGTTATAAGAATTCCCGATTCCAAAACTCGTACTCCGAGATGTTTTGTGATTTCAAGTCCTGACCAAATGAAGATATACCGCAAATACCGTGCTTTACATCTGACAGTTACTAAAAGTCGAAGATTTTTTGTGAAATATGTCAGGGAAAAATGTGTTAACCAAGTAATTGGCGTCAACAAAATAAGGAATGCGCTAAAAGAAAAAGTAACTTATTTCAATTCGCTTGATCCGACGCAGGGGCCGATATTACCACCATTAAACGACATTTGTTTTATGTTCCAGAACGAAAAAGACTGGCGTTCTTGAACATAAAAGTATTTTGCAGGTAGGTGACAAAAAAGACTTACTTTGTCAACTGAAAATTTAACAAAAATGACTATTTTTGATGACAATTTTCGAAAAGATTATTTTGTACACTTGTACATTTTATATTTCATTTGTTATAGATATGTGAGCCTTTTTCTCAAAGTATAATTTGTGTTTCCGTGCTTTTTTGAAATATAAGTACTTTGTTAAAATAACACACACCTTGGAAAAGTAATTAATTTTATAAAATTTAGAATGTATTACCTAATACTGATGCACGTTCATTTTGTTTATAACAGAAACCCCAGTTTTTCAGAAGAATTTGAATGAACAAGTATTGGTGAATAATTTGTGAGAGTGTTGAAAACAAGCGGCAGGATCAAGGGGTGGAAGCTGCTGAACACAAAAAGGATTCGAGCATCTGGCAGCACGGATCAGCGTTTACACCGTTTGATTTCAAAACCACGAACCGCTACTGGATCTAACTCGCCGTATCCCCCAAGCTGATCCCATTCTGCACATGGTTTCAAGATACTTATTTTAACGTTACGTCTCAACGGCGGAGATTCGACGAAATCAGGAAACTAAATCGTCTATCTTAGTCGGTATAATTGCAGGAACGAACAATTTTAGCGCTTACCTGGAAAGACGTCGTAATGGCGGACAGCAAATCGTAGAAGTATTCCCAGAGGCCGCCCTTCTCTGGCCGGAACGGGGTGAGCAGGAAGTTCAGCCCCAGAAGGGGCACCAGAAGCAGCGTCGCCCTGCAACAATGACAAGGGAGTGAATTGGAAAGTTTTCAGCGCGGTGTTTTCGGCAAAGATTCGCTCCCGGTGGAAATATTATAAAAAAATATATAATATTCTAAGAAAAAAAAAATCGTAATACAGGTTGGTCACGCGAAAATTACCTCCGGTTTGTGTATTTGTTTTCCTTAGTGAATGGTCTATCGTTGCATTTATTTTTTTTAGTAAACGGAGACAATTACAAAACTTCCCTAATTAGCGTCGTCTACAGTTGCGTAGGAAAATAATATTTTTATTCCTATATCATAAATATAAATTTTATTAATAGTTCTTTAAAGTGAGCCGTCGTTTTTTGAAATCGATTAAGACATTTAGACGTTACGACAATATAAAAATTTCAAGATGGCGTCCTTCATACTGGCGTTGCTATGGTAATAACAAAAAAAACGACAATTTTCTGTAATACTATAGCAGTTGCGCCCCCTAGCGGTGAAGTTACAAACTTGAAAATATTTTAAATCAATTTCTTTTGCTAAGTTTAGCGAAATTCATTCGAAATAAAAACATTCTTTACGTAAGAAAGTAAAATTGAAAATGATCATCTGGGTTATTTTGTTTCTTGTCGTACTTTTGAAAAATGACAAAAAGCGTAATTATAGACTAGGCGTTATCTGTTTTGGTTTGGGCGAATCGTATATCCACGGAGATTTTTGGCTTTTTGGCTTTCAAATATCACTAGATACAAAAATTTTTCTATGCGCATAAAAAAACGTGGGCCTAACTTTTGACGGCACAATATGTAAAAAAATTCGAATTCCTATTTAAATGTATATCTTTTCAAGAGTTTGATTGTAGGCGAATATGGAAGCGGACAAAAATGTTTGTAATTAAAATATGACTAGTTACAAATCGAATGAATCATGATTATTATTGTAAAAATCGAAAAAATCGTCAAAAATGGGGTTAAAAAACATTACTTTTTAGGGAATTCTTTTGGGGTCTTCAAGTTGGGTATAGGACCTTCATACTTGGCTCAAGAAAAGTTGATGTTATGTAGAATCATCACACCAAATTTCAGCAAAATCGGTTCGATAGATTTTGCATAATAATGTTGCAATCCAATTTGAAAAAAAATTTGCAAATTTTCAAAATTTTGTACAGCAAAAACCAAGACCCTTTGATACTTGAAAATTTAATCACATATAGAAGGGCTCTCAAACTTTCAAACGCTTTTTGAAAAATTCGAATCCCTTAATTAATAGAGCTCTGGCGCTTGTGTAAACATTGGTCGAATTTTTGTACTTATAAACAATTAGAATAACATTATGAATATTCAATCAAATCAAATTTTTTAAAGCAGGTTTTAAAAGTTATTGGAAAGACGCTTCTTTAAAAAAAACAGATCCATTGGTCAATTAGTTACGTAGTTATAGCCGACCAAAGTTAACCGTCATTTACACTAAATGTACCGGGACATCCGGGCTAATTTTACGAAAAATACCTTTGGTATTCCGAGTACTTACCAGGTCTAAGTTTGCAATACTCTTCTTCAGTGGTAACCTACTTTAAAACGCGTTTAAAGTTATTTATGCAAGCGAGAAATTAAAGAAAACCGTAGGGTGGTGGTGGTGGGGAAAGCAGAGAGCGCGGCCGCTTCAGCCTGCTCGAAATTGAATCGGCGAGCGCGACGCGCTTAAAAATTTTTAATATCTCAGCTTCTAGAGGTCCGATTTTGATAATTTTTTTTTTAAATCGATGTCTCGCGATTTAAAAAAAACCAATTAGCGTATTTTCAAATGCCTATCGTTAATAATTATTGGTCTTTAAACAGTCCGATAATTATTTATCTTTAAACTTCCTTTAATTATCAACTTTATTTTTTTATTGTATCAAAGGTAAGCGCATAAACTTATATACTGTTTATCAAAGATCGAAAACAAATTTATTTAAATATTCTAAAATTGTTTATTAACATAACAACAATTACTTTCAAAATATGTCGAAAACTAGTAATTAATTAATTATTAATTTAATCATCATTTACTGTTTAAAATATAAGCAAATGAGAAATTAACTCATTATATTACAAAAATACAAAATTATAGTACAAAAATTTGACCATTCGATTTGTAACTAGTCATATTTTGCAAAATTTAATTACAAACATTTTCCTCTTCCATTTTCGTCTAAAATCAACTCTTGAAAAGATACATAATTAAATAGGAAGAAAAATATGACATTTTTCGCATTTTTTTAACATATTGTGTCGCCAAAAGTTAAGCTCACGTTTTTTTTATGCGCATAGAAAAATTTTCATTTCTAGTGAAATTTTAAAGCCAAAAATCTCCGTGGATATACGATTCACCCAAATATGGACTCTTTGAAACAGACACAGTCTCGTCTGGACTATTACTCGCATTTAAGTATTCCGAAATGCAGATGAGGCGACCGCATAAAAAGATTGTATCTCCTAATTAAAGGCGCCGCGTTTATTTCAGCGGAAAAAGGTACGAAGCAGCAGGAAATTAATAGGCCCCGTTCCGGTTACATAGTATTTTATCCTGGTAATATGGGTTGTGTCATGAAATTTCCCCACACTGGATATTTTCATGGCAGGTGGCCATTTGTATTCCGCCGCTGTACGGTATATCGCATTTAATGCTCTTTTCACGACCTAGGCGGGGTGTACGATTGGATAATGACATCATGTACGTCAATGTTGACAAGTGAAAATTGACGATATCTTAATCAGAGGCGGCTCCTCTATGCAGAGCTACAGAACCTCCGAAATTATAACAGAAATATAGGAGAAACAGACAATTAAATTTAAATTTTTACCAAAATTCGGTGTAATGAATTATCAAAATTTCTCAACACAGTATATACTGACCAAAATTTTCAGATTAAGAAGATGAAATTGGGTTTTCAATACATAATTTCAGTAAAAATTACATGACATAAAAACTATGAAATTTTTTAATAAGGAAGTTCTAGGAAGTTCCCAGAAAAGTCCTTGATATTAATTTAAGAACTGACGGAAATTCCCAAAATAAGTGAAGTTAAGCTATAAAGACAAACATTTCTCTAATACAAAAAGAAAGTCAACTTGATTAAATTGCAAAATCATCATAAAAACGTCAAAGTAGTGAGGTTATAACCAAGTAAAAAATAATAAACAATCAAGTTTACCTGAGATACATACCTTTTACAACCCAAGGGAAATGATCAAATCGATTAAGAAATTTAGCAGAAAAGAAAAAAACCTGGAGGAAGATTATCTCCCAGAGAGCTGTCAAAAAAGGCAAGTTAGATTGACGCTTCAGATAAGAATTAAACAATTCACATTAGGTACACCATTACGAAGTTATGCTTATCGTCTTGCCAGCATTGGAAAATACCAGACAAATCAAGATGGACGAACCAAATTAATTATAACAGCCGAACTAGATACTTGTAACAGTGAGCTAAATAAAAATATTTGTAAAAGGTCAGTATAGATTTTAAAAAGAGGGAAAGTAAGTTTTCTTTCAAAAACATTATTCTACAGGGCGTTTATTAAAGATACGGCAAAAATTCAACGGATTATTCCCTAGACTATTCTAAGAATATAGATAGCTTTTGAAAAGCCGCTTTTTTTCGAAGATTCAAGGCGAGAAACATTTTCGACAATAACAACATTTTATTACCGAAAATTATAGTTGTTACGATCTCAATTGGAACCGCATAAAAACATTTAACTCATAAATTCTACGGAATCCATAGACGTCCAGGAAAATTTAGCCCTGTCTCGTCTAGATATACTACATTCCAAGCTATATTACCATATAATTACCATACGATTGTCAAGTTTTTTATGTTTAAAATCGCATTGAAATAAAGCATGTCGTAAAATATCTAAAGATTTATAATTATAATTTATCTCGAATCATGTTTAAAGTAGGAACTTTATTTTCTTTATATATTTTTATACATATTATAAATTGTGCGCCGTAGTACATCTGGTAAAATCGTCAATTTTCTTTAATTTTCTATTTTTCCGTTTCCTCTTTGTACCGTGACAATCCTTCTCTAATTACGCAATAAATTGGCCTTTTTTGGATATCTTAGTTAATCCGTTTCCTAACTTTTTTATCGCATTGTTCACTATTTTCAATTTTCAAACATTCATATATATTTAATATAATACGTTGACTTCTTACGTATAAATCTTTGTTTTTAAACTCTGAGTTTGTTTTGACACTTCGAGTTATTTCATTATCCTCCGCTTCAAAGATTCCTCAGAGAGCCACGCTAAATTACTAGATAATTACATATAACATTTATTTTAATAACTATTACCCTTTATTGGTTACGATACGAACAAATAATAATATCAACTAATAAATAATAATACGTATTATACCAACAACATACCCCGCCAAGCAATGCTCTGCACGGCACTGGCAAAGCTAAGTGAACCCGTGTACCATACAAAAAAATTATTTACGACCTAGTGGACCAATATAGGTTTGCTTTGATGACCAGCGCGCCGCCGTATATTCTACACCAGGTAGACTAGTTTCGGACTCACCGAATTGCTATTCGAGTATAAATTACGAGACACATCATGGTCAAAGCATAAGAAGAAATTTCAGGAGAAGTGCATACGGCCCTGTGCTCTAAGATTTACAGGTTCCAATAATTGACATCGTAACAAATATACATGTAAAGCTACTTCTACAAGAACCGTTAAAAATAACTACCTCCAACTAGGATGCAAGAATTCAATCTTCTCCCTATTAGCTGCCGAAGTATATCAAAAACACCAGGATTGTTTCTTATTGAATTACACTCAGCAATTATCCGATTTTTAAAATCTTCTACTGGAATAGTATAAACTAATGACTTTGGATGGCCCCATAGGAAATAATCCACGGGGTTTAAGTCCTGGGATCGAGCAGGCTATAAGTGAGGTCCACATCGACCAAACCAGTTAAAAACTCACGACCAACCGCACTGGTGCACCATCGTGCATAAACCACATTGCATTTCTTGTTGCCAATGGTACATCCTCCAGAAACTGAGGTAGCGTTTGTTCTTGGTACAAATACAGTAAACAAAATTTTACCAGTTAATGTTTTATTCTTCTTCAAAATATAATTTTAATTGCGATCAAACGCATTCTCTATTATATCCACCAATTTCTGCTCAATGAGGAATTATAATTTCAGCAGCGTTTTTTCCTTGGTCCCTAATATATAGTTCCCTATCCAGAAATCTCGATCCGATATTCTATTACGTTTCCGCAAGGCCGTTGGCTCATTGTTGTTCATGTATCTGAACTTGTGGGTGCGATGCGTCTGTTTATTCCGTCCGTTGTCGTGTGTATACACAGGGTAGCCCATCGAAAACGTACCTCAAGGCATTGCAGGGTAGCAATGAACTTTTCGGCAAAATCCAAAAACAGGTAAAGTTTGCTTCTGAGGGGGACAACTTTTGGCGCAAAAAGCATAGCAAAATCTTCAACCCCCTAAGTGGGGGTGCCATCCCCCAATTTTTTTTAAATGGGAATGGGGGTCAAGTGGGGGGTCATTAGAAAGGGCTTTTAATTCTCTATACATCGATTCTTACTTTTTGAAAATCGATCCATTATTTTAGAAAATATGCAGCTTTGAAAATACGAACAATATTTTTGACGAGAAATGCGAAAATCGATTTAATTTTACTTCAAAACTTACGGTATTAGCTTGGTAAATTCCTTCAAAAGAATTCGCTGTTTTTTTTTTTGATTTGCGAATTCTTTAGCCTGATTTTGGTGAGCAAAAAATTGTCCGCTTTTTGTTTCGTATTTAGATAGGCCACAAGAAGTTGCTAGATAACTGTCTTGTGACTTGTAGTTGAAGAGTACCAATACTGCCGAGTCTTTTAAATTGATTAATTATGGTGTACTCAATTCCAGAAAGAGTAGAAATTATTGAGCTTTTTTTCAAAAACAATGAATGCGGAAATCGGGTCGCCGAACTGTTCAACCAACGGCATCCTGAGAAACATGCGTCTGGAAAAATTGTTCGCGAATTGGTGGCCAAATTTCGCGAAACTGGCTCCGTTCATAACAAAAAGAGGCAGGTTGAAAATCCGGTACTAAATGAACCTACGGAAATAGCGGTATTGGGGCAAGTGGCAATGGATAGTACGCTGAGTACAATGCAATTGGCTACTGCGACAGGAGTGAGTCGTACAAGTGTCCAACGAATATTAAAAAAATACAAATTCCATCCTTATAAGATTCGGCTAGTGCAAGAGCTAAATGAAGACGATTTTGATCGTCGTTTGCAATTTTGCGAAATAATGACTGAACGAGCGATAAACGATAATTTCCTCTTTAATGTGTGTTTTTCGGACGAGTGTACGTTCTTCTTGAATGGTTTAGTGAATCGCCATAATTGTCGTTACTGGGCTGATACCAATCCAAGGATTTTCCATGAGACACACTCCCAACACCCCCAGAAGTTGAATGTATGGGCAGGTATTTTTGGAAATTCCATTGTAGGTCCTTTTTTCCTTCCTGGAAATTTGACAGGCGATATGTACTTGGATTTACTACAAAATGTCATCGACCCAGCTCTAACAAATATCATAGAGGACGACCCTGCTTACAATGAACACGAACTGATTTTCCAGCAAGACGGAGCTCCTCCACATTACTCGCTCAATGTGCGCAATTACCTAAATGAGACGTTTCCAGGACGCTGGATAGGACGAAGAGGTGCAATTGAGTGGCCCCCTCGGTCACCCGACTTAAATCCTTTAGATTTCTTTCTCTGGGGGCACATTAAAAGCAAAGTTTACAGCACTCCACCTGATACCTTGGAAGATCTGCGAGGACGAATCATTAATGTATGTCGCGAAGTAACACCGCAAGTGCTCCAGAATGTTCGACAACGGTTTGAAGACAACCTGTATCATTGTATGCAAGTTGGCGGACAACATTTTCAGCATTTACTTGACTAATACCGTAAGTTTTGAAGTAAAATTAAATCGATTTTCGCATTTCTCGTCAAAAATATTGTTCGTATTTTCAAAGCTGCATATTTTCTAAAATAATGAATCGATTTTCAAAAAGTAAGAATCGATGTATAGAGAATTAAAAGCCCTTTCTAATGACCCCCCACTTGACCCCCATTCCCATTTGAAAAAATTTAGGGGATAGCACCCCCACTTAGGGGGTTGAAGATTTTGGTATGCTTTTTGAGCCAAAAGTTGTCCCCCTCAGAAACAAATTTGACCTGTTTTTGGATTTTGCCGAAAAGTTCTTTACTACCCTGTAATGCCTTGCGGTACGTTTTCGATGGGCTACCCTGTATATCAGGGATAGCGCCGAGAAAATTGGTTTTGTTCACGATGCTTGCGCAGATCCATATGTTTATGTAAATAACGGAGATTTTATTAAACCGGCGGAAAACGAGCCCAATTTCGCCTTCGCAGAGATCAGGAGTTCCCAAACTTTTTTTACACGGTGAAAATGCAGAATTTGATCTAGTACGTTTGTAGGAAAATAAAGTTCATAAAAAAGGAAAGATTTTAAACTTTTGACAGGTGCTGCTAGTTTGTAAAAATACCAGCATATTGAAATTGTATTATTAATATATGCTTTATCTCCAAGTACAGCGATGTAGAAAATAACATTTTGTTTTGTTGTACTGATAATAAAAAAATTCGTTAGTTGTATGCCCCAAAGCTAACCCTAACCTTTATTACAAAACCGGCGAATAAACGCGTTTTTTCATGTAAAAATTGTTTTATATCAGCAACCCCTTACCTCAAAGCTTGCAATGATGACCTGGAAGCTCCCGATCCATGTCCATCGTTAGCGGGGCCCCTTCTCAGCTTCACGACGACCACCCTCACTATATTGATGAGGAAGAACAGGTTGAGGAGTATGGTGGCCGCCACAGGGATCTGATGTATTATTTCGAACCTCGAGTCTTTAATCCAACACCTGGAAACAAGCAATAACAATGCTGAACAAACAAAGTTATTTATTATCTCATTCCTCAAAACGTCCGAAAGGATAAATCACACACCCTACGTCTGACGTAAATTGAATTAATCCGCAAGAAGTTTCGCATATTTCCCGCTTAACTATCTACAAGAGCTATTAAACTTTATTAATGGTTTCCTCCAGAGGGGTTGGAGCACGAAGAATGCGCACTTCAACTGTTAGATTGCTCAAACTACAGGCATTAGAAAGCAGCCTCTTCTTCTTACTACCACTTTTAAGCGGTATTAAGTGACTAATTTCCATATTAGGCGCCTGGGGGCGTGTTTGTTTTGATGATTGTTTAAGACATCACACAAATGTGACGGGAACTACTGTTCATAAATCTGAACTTAAATTGGACGTAATGAAGTATTGCCTCTAGCAACTTCTTAATTCCACATAAATCTTCTTGATTTGATTCGGTTATATGTTTTTTTGCATAATTATTGCATTACTGTGTTATTTTAAAATAAGAAACCAACACAATACATGCGTTGTTATCGATTTTCCGAGCAAATCACGTTGTATATAGCTAACAACGTCTTATACAAATCTTCGTAACAATGTTAGACCGTTCAGTTCCATATAAATCTATTACTTCGCACTGGGGGAACAAAACGACAATCTAATAAAGCTGATGTCGCTGGTAAAATATTTTTTTAAGACTACCACGCCGCCAATATTTCTCTGCAAACATCTGACAGTTATAAGCTGTGACATATCGAGGAAATATTCGTAAGAAGAACAGGTTTATTGAGCGAGCTAATGGGGAAGTTATTTTTAAATTTCGGTTGTTTTAAAGGTGAATTGAGTGAGAAATGTTACGTTTGCAATATCTCTGCTTTTCTTCGCTTTTGTCCTGTTTTTATCACAAAACGATAGTCGAACCGAGTAAGGAATTTACTGCAGCCAAACAAAAGGACGCATTATACTGCTGCAGTGTCGAATATTTACAAAAGCCCCGAAGTCCTGGCAGGGATGTGACGGTTAGATAAAAGACATCCCAATAAATAAAGCGGCGATATCGTAAATAAATATCCGATGCGGAGTCTTATGTGAAACAAATTTTACTGCATGGGAAAAGGAAGTGCATTTTTCGCGTCTCTATTTTTATATATTCGTCCGGGACACCGAGTTTCAATGGTAATGTGGGATATTAGAATAATAAAAGGGGTAGGTATTTTCCAATTCCTATTTTAATGCTATAAAAGATACTTCTAAGTCGAAGAATATAAATAATAGAATTTCTCTGAATGACAGTGACAGTATGACTGAATTTTTATTCAAGTCAGAACACAAACATCTCTTTTTAATTATCGCCAATTTGTTCCTGTTATTTTTTCCACTACCACTTTCTGGCAAGGAAACAAATGAACAGCCAAAAATAAATTATCCCTCGATTGAAGTTAATTAAATGAATGCTTCATTAAATTTAAAAGGTCCATTTCTAGGCAAACGTAATGGAATACGTGATGGCCATGCAGAACAAAAATTCCGTAATGTAGGACGAAATTTTATCCTTAAACAGACGGAACGTGTGATTTTTTACATATTTTCATTAAATATATAACGATTTACATATGACGCAGTCATCTTCTGGACCTGTTTCAAATAATACTGGCAACTGTTACCCAGTTGAAGAAAAAATGTTTCTCTTGCCACTTTTTCGAAAAATTACCATTATTTTGCTTAGAGGCGATTGTGGCGCCACCGCAGCGTCATCACACTGGACGGCACTTAGTAGGCCTGGACAAACGTGGTGTTGGAACAGGCGCCAGTAAATTACCATACCGGAAATTGCGCACTTTGACCTTTCATATCTGACCATCGAGATAATGCAATCGTGATGGTAACAGTGCCAATCTGTTCTCCTTCACATTCGATACGTGGATAGCAGTAAATATTGCAGCATGCATTGAAAATTATTGACGTCTATTGTACAGTTAATTTTTTCTACAGTCTTGTTGCAGATTTGAATAAAGTTAACTTATTAAACGATATAAATAGAAAAAAGAAGGCAATATAAGGGTGTCCCATTAATATTGCGAAGCGAAAAAAGGGGGGAGTTTCCTTGACCAAAATTAAGAAAGAAAATTCCTATAAACTTATGTCCGAAAATGCTTCGTTTCGGAGATACAGGGTGTTGAAATTTACAGAAAATACAAGGTTTATACTAATATCTGGAGAACCCTAATTTCTATTTTTGTTTCTACTTCCCTTAAGGATGTGCTTATAAATGGATATTAATTTTCTGCTCGAAAACGAAGCAAGATATCAAAAAAAGTAAAGAGACAAAAAAGTATGTATTTTTTACCGCATAATTAGAAACACATATGACTCCTAAGAAAAAGCAGTGACGTCTAATATGTTTACTTATTAATATCAACAGGAGTGAGTCCCCGGACCCGCTGGAATAGATAAAATAAATGAAATTACGTCAGAAGACGTCTATCGTTTTTATAAACAAACACACCAAATTTCAAAAAAATCGGAATTAGGGTTCTCCAGATATTAGTAAAAACCTTGTATTTTCTCTAAATTTCAACACCCTGTATCTCCGAAACGAAGCATTTTCGGACATAAGTTTATAGGAATTTTCTTTCTTATTTTTGGTCAAGGAAACTCCCCCTGATTTTTTTCGCAATATTAATGGGACACCCTGTATGCAGAATTCCAATAAGTGAATACATTGGAACGTAGTCAATAGTATTGGAGCAGTTGTAAACGTTTAATATATTTTTTTTTCATGTACCTTGCATTGCCCATCCTTACATTGTGTTCTGAAGCAAACGCAGCTACTTTCATAACTAAAATAATATCACAGAAAAAAAAACAAAACTCTCGAAATCGCCTCGGGTGAACAAGCCCTTAATGGCTGTTATTTTCCAGAGGGTGTGCTTTTATTTCCACGTTGTCCTCCGCTTTATTGCTACGAGCAATACGGTGGCATCCTGATCCAGGATTAAGCACAGATGCAGGCTAGCTTCGACCTATATATAGTTGCGGCGTAATCCCAATTTCCAATTCAGTGGTAGCGCATTATTCTGTCTTTCCATAATATTAATAGAGTTCCAGGTTATCTAAACGCTGAAAATATAGGTGTACTGTGTTAATACGGCGATAATCTGTTAAATATTTAGGACTAATGAGGTTTGTACTCGGTTTAACCCGCTCTGGAGTTTTAGCAAGTTAGTTTGGGAATAGTTCACCAGTGGTTTATTGTTAATTAATTTTATAACGACGTTTTACTGGACAGTACCGTGATAAGGGACGGAGGCCTTTTCGATATCGACACTGCATATTTACAGGGTGTTCCGTAGGTACAGTGCAATACTTTATCAAAACGTCATCTTTGGACATACTAATAACACTTGACATTTTTTTAAATAATTTTAATTACTATACATATTCTTATTTTTCAATAATCAATCTGTTTCTGTAATTTCATAATTTAAATTGAAATCACCCTGTAAAATAAAACGAAGACAAGTTTCTAAAACTGATACTCAAACGGCTAATGTTTCTAGAGGTACTCTTTTGGCAAAAAAGGTAGTCCAATGGGGCTTTGAATTTCACCCTAAACTTGAAGAGTTTGTAATTGAAGAAATAATACTACAATTTATGTTGCAAATAATGGGAAAAACTATCTGCATGTCTCAGACTTAATACGCTTTTCTCGTGACATTTTCCGGGCGCTTTTGTTGGGAATCAAGGATTTATTTAGGGCGGGCAAAAATTCAATTTGTTTGGAGTGCAATATGTGTTTCGGGGACGTATATTGGATACCACGAACTGAGCCGAAGAGACTAAATCGTCTCGTGCAGGCTATATTAAGTGCAGCAGAGGATGTACGATAGCGCAAAAACAAAAAGAAATGCGCGCTTAACGGCTTTGGGGGTGTGCATCTATTCGTCAAGTTTTTAGTACAGGCAAAAGACTGGTTTTCTCGAAATATGTCGCTGTAATGTAGGTTGGTTTTTAGTAAATAATATCAAATTTTAATCACTACAACTTTTTAGTCATTTATATTAAAATGAAAGCGTTTGATGTATTTCAATATTTCATTTTTCTATTTTACTTAACTCCTGCGTAGCGCGAAAAGAAAACAAAGAATGTACCAGTTTCTGAAATGTTAAATGCAAGATTGTAACGAAAGTTTCGCGTTATTAAAAATTTCACAAGTACGAAATAAAACTTCCAAAACTCCCAGGGAGATAAAGGAGCAGACTATCGTCGTACCCATTGGAGTGTAACATTACTGATATTTTCTTTGATCTAACAATGGGAAATATATTCCTCGCATATCTTTAAAGTTCCGTTTGCCTCCAACGCTTTGAGAAGTTAGTTCTAGTGTTTCAACTTCAGACGAAGGTTTCCGAACTTCCAGACATTTTCATTATCTAAAATTAAAGGGAATTGATGCCAAACAAGGCCGCGATAACGACTATAAATAGATTTAAAAAAACATAGTAATACCGAATTATAATAAAAGCAGTGGTAACAAGAAACAACAAAAAATTTACATATTTATACGGAGGTTAGCTTTGATTGGCTAAGTATATTTATCACTTTTATACTAGGTGTCCTAATAAGAACGAACAAAACGCGAAGTTTCAAATAAAAATTGTAGGATATTAAACCTTGAAAAGTTACCACGAAACAATACTTCTACATTTATCGTTAAGAGGGGAATAAAGATATTTTCTGAAAATAGACCTTCACCCAAGCAGTCTTTTCAAAAACTACACTATTTTCTGAGAAAATTATATGTGGCCTATATAGATAAGGTATTGAGCTAGGAGTTGACATATTTTTTATTGCAAAATAATTTGTATTATTGAAGTTATGGATAAATAAAGTATAATAACAAATTGAAATTTTATGTCATAGATCTTTATTATAATTTTACATCTCCTTCGTACAGATTTGAGGAAATAACCCGCAAAATATTAGACTGA